AGCAGGAAATCAGGAACAGAGGAACAAAAACCAGATGAGACAGACAGAAAAGAAAAAGCAAAATGGTAACCCAAACCCAATGATACCAATAATTTCATTAAATATAAATGGATTAAATTTTCCAAGTAAAAGACACCAAATTAAGATTAAGTAAGACACCAAATGCTGTCCATGAAAGATACATTTTAAACATAAAGATGCAGATAGCTTGAAAGTAAAAGAATAAAAAATAAACCACGCAACCACTGAAATAAGACGATATGGTGATGTTATATGAGACATTTTATAATAGGGATCAATTCATTGGAAGGATATAATTTCAAATGTGTGCCACTTAAAAACAGAAATTCAAAATACATGAAGCAAAAACTAATAGGACTAAAGGGAAAATCAGAAAGGATTAAGGAGATTTGAACACCACCATCAACTACCCTGACCTAAATGATACTGAGAGAACACTACTACTGCAGAAGATGCATTCTTTTCAACTATACATGGGACTCGAATCAAAATAAGCAAAGTTGTGGCATAAAATAACTTTTAGTAATTCAAAGGACTGAAATCATACAAAGAATATTTTGGACAACAATGAAATTAAGTTAGAAATCAATAAAGTATCTAGAAAATCTCCACACTTCTTAAAAACCAAACTTCTAAATAATCATGGATCGAAGAAATTGCAAGAGGAATGAGAAGATATTTAAATAATAATAAACAGAAATAAACGAAATAGTAAAGAGACAAATAGAAAAGCCAAAAATTGGTTCTTTGAAAATAACAAAAACCTTGCAAGACTTATCAAGAATAAAAGAGGGAAAATTCAAATTACCAACATTATTTAAAAAGTGGGACATTACAGATCTTGCAGACATTAAGAGGATAACAAAATATTAGAAATAAATTTATAGCAATAAAACCTATCACTTATGTGAAATGAACAAATTTCTTGTAAGACACAAGTTACCAAACCAACACAGAAAATTGAAAATCTAAATACTGTTCAATTTTAAAAACTCTTCCCTGTAAGAGATGGTTTCTCTGGTAGAAGCTATCAAGTATTTAAGGAAGAATTAATACCAACCTTATGCAAAGTGTTTCAGAAAACAGGAGAACCCTTTCCAATATACTTAAGAGTCCAGTATTACTCTGATATCGAAACTACAGAAAAACATTATAAGAAAAGAAAACTGAAGACCAACATCCCTTGTAAACATAGATGTAAAAATCCTTAAAAAAAAGATTAGCAAATCAAGTCATAAATATTTTAAAAGGTTAATTTATCACAACCAAATAAGGTCAAGGTTTGTCATTAGAAAAATCACTTAGTGAAATTCACCCCATAAAGGAGTAAAACTATATGATCCTTTCAACAGATGCAGAAAAAGCACTTGACAAAATTCCACAGTCATTCATTAAAAACACTGACAACACTAGGAACAGAAAAGAACATCCTCAATCTGATAAAGAAAAATCTATAAAAAATCCATAGTTAACATCCTACTTATCGGGGGAATTATTAAAAGCATTCCCTCTATGATCAGCAACAATGCAAAAATGTACATCCTTACTATTTCTATTCAACATTTTACCGCAGGTTTTAGTCAGGACAGAAAAAGTGAAAAAGGCATCAAGATTGGGAAAAAGGAAAAGCGTCTTTATTTAACAAACAACAAGGTTATGTATCTAGAAAATCTCAGGAATCTACAGAACACTAGAACCAAAAAGTGATTTAGTAAAGTTGCAGAAAAAAGATGAATACACAAAAATCAAGTTTTATTGTATATCCTAGGAACAAAAAACTAAAAAGTAAAATTGAAAAATAACATTCATAATAGCACTAAAAAGGTTAAAATAGTGAAGAACAATCTAATGACAGACATGCTATATGCCTACACTAAAAATTATAAGACATGGCAGAGAGATGGCATAGCCAATAAGACGACTATCCTAAAGTTGTCAAACCTGACTGTCCATTCTTGACAAATAAACTTACTTTCCTATTTTATTGAGAATATCCTAATCACGAAGGTAAATTGCTTCTGTTTTGAATCTCAATACCTCATTTTCCTCCTAACTTTTGTGCAATCAACTTTCTTCCTTTTTCTTTTTTTTTTTGAAGATTAGCCCTGAGCTAACATCTGCCACTAATCCTCCTCTTTTTGCTGAGGAAGACTGGCCCTGAGCTAACATCTGTGCCCATCTTCTTCTATTTTATATATGGGATACCTGCCACAGCATGGTTTGATAAGCGGTGCGTAGGTCCACGCCCAGGATCCAAACCAACGAACCCCAGCCGCCAAAGCAGAGCACGCAGACTTAACTGCTATGCCACCGGGCCGGCCCCTCTTCCGTTTTCTTAACAGTTAATTCCTCCTTTTATATTTTCTTTAAATACACTTATATAGTACTTACTACGAGTTAGGAACATTTTTATTGCTGTAAAAATATTAACTCTGTTAATAACCGCATAAGTTAGGTACTATTATTATCCCTAATTTACAGATAAGGAAATTGTGTGCCTAGGTCACCTAGCTAGGACAAGGTAGAGAAACAATTCAAACTCAGGTGTTTAGCTCAGAGTGTGACCATGCGGCCTTGACTATATGCATTTGGTTAGAGAAGCTGTCTCCTAAGTGGGGTATGTGAATATTGTCCAGGGGGGCACAAAATGATTGCTTACAAGAAGAAAAAATTAGAACTTAAATCAAACTTTTAGATTTCTTGTGATGTTCCAGGTTGACCGCTAATGTCCATAAGACTTTAAAGGAGGAATGGAGGCTTGACCAGAAAAATTAATTAAAAAAAAAGAAAAGCAAAAAATAACAGGTACTTTTCATACAATTCTTTATTCTGCTTAATTTGTCCTCTGGTTACTCTTTAAAAAAATATTAACTCCTATCCCAGCAGAGCTTGAAAGATTAATTTAACTATGTCCTTGCCCTCAGGGAAGGTATGGACCAGAGTTTAAAGAGAGGTCAATTTTGTTCTAAATCGGGGCCCTGCGTCAGTCGGATGCACCTCATCTGTGGTGTCCCAGCCACAGCACTGAGACAGGAACTGACAGCGGGTGAAGACTGGTAGTTAAACCAACTTCTAACACTCATGAATCAAATACACACATTGCCATTACAGAAAATAATTTTAAATGTATCATTTTGAAAAAGTCAGAGACATTTCCTCACTGAAACAAAATTGGAAATATTGGGTTAGGTTCAAAGCTAACCCCAAAACATTTTCATTTTAGTTGATTCACCTTATTCTCCCCTTTCCAATTATGACCCATTTTCATAACCAGTCATTATATTTATCTTATTGCTCCTATGTTCCAGCTCTGTGATTGAATGGGCAATTGTACACTAATTAGAATTCTTCTGGCCTCTTGTATCTGGCTTCTCTCACTTAATATAATGCTTTTGAGGTTCATCCATGTTGCAGCATGTATTAGTACTTCATTCCTTTACAAAGTTGAATACTACTACAATGTATGGATACAAGTCGTTTAATTTATCCATCCATCATTTGATGGACAATTGGGTTGTTTCCACTTTTGCACTATTAAGAATAATGCCTATGTGAACATTTGCATACAAGTTTAATGTGAACATATTTTCAATTTTCTTGGGTATATACCTAGGAGTGAAATTGCTGGGTCATACTGTTATTCTATATTTAACTTTTTGAGGAACAGCAAACTTTCCAAAATAACCGAACCATTTTACATTCCTACCAACAACATATGAAGACTCCAACTTCTCCACATCCCTCATCAACACTTGTTACCTTCTTTTTTGATTATAGCCATTCTAGCGGGTATGAAGTGGTATGTCATTGTGGTTTTGATTTGCATTTCCCTGATCAGTCATGATGCTGAGTATCTTTTCATGGCATCCACTTTTAAAGATCACAGTAGCAGTTGTCCATCATGGGGCAAAAAGGAACATGGCTGGTTCAGGAATACAGTTCTTTGACATACAGGTGTGTTAGGAAGACATATTTAGAAAGCCAAATATCATTTGAGTAAGACATTTGTATCAAGATGTACAATATGTTACTTCCAACGACCATTAGAGTGTCTATCTTTCTTGGTAATCTACTACTCTGAACAGCTCTAAGTGTGATTAGCTATAGTAGAAGCTGCTTTACCTGGGAGTCCAAATAATGGACAAATTTAAACAGAATTACTGTAAAAGCTGGTCCCTCACCCCTGCCAATGTTAATTCATTTAAAAATAGTTTAGACTATCATAACTGCAGAATGCTTTAGTATATAAACTGTGTAGAAAAGCTGACGGTATCTGTCAGTTTGTGATATTAAGGTGTCCTACCCTTAAGAGACAGACAAGGTGGAATAGGTCAAAACAGACAATTACAATGATATCACAGCTATTTCACTGGTCACCTATTAGTTTGGGTGAGTTATATATTTTATTACATAACTGTTTTAAAGCTTTGATGTGTGTAACATTTATTTTACGTTAAGACCTGTTCTCCATTGTGTCTGGAGTTGACAGCTAAGTATTAGAAATTCATTGAATTAGGTCAGGTATAAGGTATTTTGTGTAAACAATCTACTACAGTTCAGAGCTCACTACTAAGTTAAAGGAGCACTGAAAAGCTGATCCTCATCCCTCACTCCAAATTCCTCTGAAAACGTCTTATTGAGCTAATTACGGTCTTTTACCAGACATTTATTCAAAGGGTAACTAAAACTTTAAACAGATACACAGAATACTTCAAAAGTATCTGAATGTTCTTAAATTTTCATTTATTCTCACAAGAGAAAATTCTAACAATTTTCTTTAGAATAACATATTAATTTTTTGCTGACAATAGGGCCCTCCCTTGGATGGTTCAAGTATGATTAAATCAAGACAAAACATTCTTTTTTTGAAATAGTCCCAACTTCTCTAAATTTAAGAGTTATGAATAACTCTTGTGAGTTTCAAACAAGGCAAAAATCATATATCTAATTATCGAGGAGTTCTGAAACTTAATTTTTACCTGTATCCATACTTTGGTTCAACTGTTGATCACTTGTTTCTCCATCTTCACTGATATATCCAGGAGGTGGCGTTTCTACAAAAGTTTAGAAAAAATCAAGTGCAGTTGCAATTTAATCTCACCACCTTCCCTCCTAGCTACTAAAGATAACCAAAGAATCACTCCGAATAACAAACACGAAAGTTATATAACATTATTATAAAAAGCAATATTGAATATTGAGGGCTTATGATTCAGGTTCTGATCCAAATCTTAGAGGTGAATCCTTAAAGCCTACTTGTAATACAATCAAGCTCTCCGGGCATATTTTCTTAGCTGTTATTTACATATCTGGCTCATTCCCCTATGTATATTTTCTGGGGCAAGAGCCAAAAATATAATTCAAAGATGCCTCAGTTCTGAATCAGTATGCTTCAAAGACATGTACCTATAATTTTTTTCTAAACTAATGGCCATCATGGATGGGTATACCTAGGAGATGATTAAAGAGTACACAACAGACAGACACACACACACACACACACACACACACACACTAGATTTTGGGTTACAAAGTAATACAGGCTTACACCTTATACTAGGTTCTGCAGTGCAAAATATGGTAATATGGTTCAGGACTCGGTCTAGCTTGAATTCTACATAAAAAGTATATTTCTCCAGGGATTTTGAACCAGTAAATTCCGAGTGTTTGAAGCAGAAAACTAAATTCAAATACAGATACTGCACAAAACTGAAGCAAAATACACCCTGAAAATAAATAAGACTCTAATGTGCCATTTCCAAAATATCTTATGAGCAAAATGTTTATATTCAGGAGGCATCTGAATAGCTGAATAAGCTCCATGTAAAATAAAAACATTCATACAATTTTACCATTTAAAGGAGGAAAAATAAGTTTAAATGATCACCAACAGTTTAACAATTATATTGCAGGGCAGTTTTAAGCAGTTCAAGATAATGCAGACACATATCTAAAAGGAATTTTGTAATTACCAAAAGGGAGAGAGAAAAGATTAAAGGGTTAAAGGGCTCCTTCACAATCTCCCTTCAATAAGCTAACTTAAGTATCAAACACTTAAGTGTTGATACCCTAAATTTTTAATAACGAAATTCTAAGACTAAAATAAAATACCTTCATATACTCAAAGAACACAAAAATAAGAATGATACACATCATCACACACTATTTGGAAGCTAATAAAATTAGCAGAGCTAAGCTTTGCCAGGTTAACCACCCTTGTCTCAAAGGTCTCAACAGGAAGAAATGGGGCTGGCCCAGTGGCACAGTGGTTAAGTTCAGCACGCTTCACTTTGACAGCCCAGGGTTCATGGGTTTGGATCCCGGGAGCAGACCTACATCATTCATCAAGCCATGCTGTGCCAGCATCCCACATACAAGACAGAGGAAGAGGCACAGACGTTAGCTAAGGGACAATCCTCCTCAAGCAAAAGGTGGAGGAGTGGTAACAGGTATTAGCTCAGGGCCAATCTTTCTCACAAAATAAATAAATAAAGCAAACAGGTGTAATCCACTTTTGATTTTCTACTTTGTAAAATACTCAAATCTAAATGAATAAAGATGAAAGCAAAAATAAGCCCAAACACCTCCACAAGTGAATGCCACTAAACATTTTCATCAACATCCTTCCAAATAATTATTGGGTAGATGCCTTCCAAGACCGTATGCTTACAGCTCAGTTTCCTAGTATTGTTGAATAACAGTAATTCCCACATCAAAGACTTAAAATGCCTCCTCCTCCTCACACCACACACACATAACTCTTTTTCCTGCCAAATCCTTCTCCCTAAGAACTGTCCTGTTTCGGTCCTGCTTTCCCCCTCATCCTAGCCCTCAGAGTCCACCCCACTTCATGCCCTTTCCTCCCAACTTATGAAACTTTGTTTCCTAGCAACACAAAAGGCAGTCTTAAGTCCTCTTTTGGAATAAAATAGTAATCAAAAAATGCACATTAGAACTATCAGAAAACACTTTCTAACTTTAAAATTAGCTATTTAAAAAAAATCCTTTTTGTTTTTAAAATTGTCTTCAATGAATAAGCATTTCCATGATGAGACACATTAAAGAAATATTTTTTAATGTACTTGAAATTCTAAGTTCCTGACATATTTTCAGTTGTGTAAAATAAAAATGAGAGAATACAGTAATACTACAAAAGGAGAAAAAACTGACACTAAAAGATCCAATGCATAGTTTAATCCTCATCGTAACATTACACCTTTAGTTTCTGCTAGGAAAAAAAACCCAAAAGACAAAAAAAGAGAAACAAAAATAAGAAAATGTAAGTTGTTCTCCTAAAAAATAGTGAAAACTAAAAGGGCAGTTACCGTATCATGAATTACTGGGTCACATAATACAATAATTAGAGCAGAATTTGCGAACCAGGTAGTTGAATTCATTTATTTTTCAGTAGGCATTACTGAGGCCCAGATGAAAAAGAACTAAAATAGAAGATTTCTGATTTTCAGTACAACATATGCGTTGTTACGTCTGTAAAATTAAAACATCTTCTATAGAAATCTTACATTTCTTTTAAACATTATCAAACTATCTATGAAAGTGATTATTTGGGTGATTTTTAGTTACATTTGTTCCAGGAATACTTTTTTCCTGTACCATTTATTTTGCTTACATTCTGCATCTCTCAGCTTCAACAACTAAGACAAACTTACTAAGATCTTTTCTTTTCTGCTTCTCACAGTACTTTGATTAAAGCCACTGCAAAAGAAAATGAAATATAAAGTAAAACTTTTCTCCAGACAAAAATGCTTAAAGTACTAGGCTTATACATTTCACAAAATAATCACCCAACAAATCACATTTTTCTATTCAAAATCCAGAAGCATTTTTTTAAAAGACAAACCACAGATTACTCATACTTGAACGTTTGTGAACAAAATTCGTATCTATCCCAATGTTTAGGAGACTCAACAGGCAAAACTACCTGGGATATAATTACTCTGTGGCTCGATCCCCGCTGGGAAGTTAGTGTTCTCTGGGATGGAGTGGGTATAGTCATCCAGAGGCGGGAGTTCTGTCAGGATTTCAGTGTGCCGCGGCACTAACACGGGAGGCAGAACTGAAAGAGGAAAAGACTCCAAGTTAACAGCAAGGAGCAAAGAGGGAGGGGGACCTTTACTAAACATTTTCACAAAAAAAGTAGTGTGCTTAACTCTTTAAATTTAGAGTCAACCTATTTGGTATTGAGAGCTATTGAGAAAGTGACAAATCTGATTACAATTTTAACTTACCATATAAACCACAATCTAAATTTCCAAGTCCCAATTTATCTTGTACTTTTGGGAACAAGGTGATCCTGGCAATATCACATTACCATAAAAGTTCATAAATCTCCAAGGGAAAAGTGGTGGAAAGATTTGTAAAATCAGAAGTAGGGTATCTTCTAAAAATATAGCTTTACTCTTTTAAAAAGTTTCAAATACACAGCTGACCAAGAAAACTACAAAGTCTTGCTATGAGTTTTACTAAACTGCTTAGATACAAATGATGTCATTAATGCACTTCAAAAACAGACTCTAAGAGCAAAATGATTGGAAATAGTTAATGCAGCAGACAGGCAGAGATACAGCAGTTTAGTTCTAAGCAGACTGAATCTGTGGGATTAGAATTTCCTGGATACGTACTTTGATGTGAAATAGAATGCTATCCCAAGAAACTGACATATCTTTCCCCCTTACATATATTTTTCCATAAAATATTTAAAAAATAAAAAAGTATTTTTGGGGCTGGCTCCATAACCATGTGGTTAAAGTTCTGTGTACTCTGCTTTGGCAGCCCAGGTTCACGGGTTTGGATCCCAGGCGCAGACCTACTCCATTTGTCAGCCACACTGTGGAGGCATCCCACATAGAAAACAGAGGAAGACTGGCACAGATGATAACTCAGGGTTAACCTTCCTCAAGCAAAAAAGGAGGAAGACTGCCAACGCCAATGGATGTTAGCTCAGGGCCAATCTACCTCACCAAAAAACTAATTAATTAATTAAAAAATAAAGAAGTATTTTTAATTACCACCAATAATATATTGAATTTAAGGTAATTTATAAGAATTTTACATCAAAATTTCCCTGGGTCAATTAGGTATAAGAGTACCTCATAAACCTAAGTTCCAGCATTTAATTTAAAACAAGGAAAAAATCTAATTTTCCTACCTGGTGTCTCAACTCTCTGGTAGTGGTAAGGGTTTACACATACTTCATCCTTTTTAAGATTAAAAGCATATTCGCAGTTTTCAATTGCTTTGAGTTCATGATGACTGTGAAGATCAGGCCAGCGCCACAATCGGCAATATATAACATGTGGCAGTCCTTTTCGATGAGATACCTGAAGACGACCATCAAGAGACCTATTGGGAAGCAAGGGGAAGAGAAAGGTAGGAACTTTAAAAAAAAAAAAATAGGTGTAGTCAATTGAGCTAAATTAGCACAGTAGGAGCATAAAGAAAGGAATGACAGACATTTAGTTAGTTTTAGTGGGTACAAGGAAGAAAAACGTACTATTTAATGGATCTCATATAAAAGTAAGCAGCAGCAATAGCAGATGTTTCTTATAAACATGCTACATAAATGACTCAAATGTCAATGAATGGCTAACCATTTGGGAAAAAACTGGTTTTTAAAGAGTATCACATAGTTATACTTGAAAAACTTTGTCATCTTCTATCTTTAGTAAATCAAATTCTTATATAGGCAGGCTTTTAAGGGCATTAATTCTGTAGGTGATTGAATTATCAAACAAAGGAACTAGTGTGAAGAATGGTAAATACCAACAATGAAGTAAAAGTAACTTATTCAAACTAATGTAACTCATTACCCAGCTGTGATTGTTTTGAGCACTGAGATATATTTCTATAACTCACACATAAACGCAGATGGTAATGAATATGATGAGATGAAATGGACAAATACCAATATGCTCAACAAAAGAGAATAAGGTGACCAAAAAAATAACATAAGAACAAGTTAGCCTAGCGTTAATTGTGATATAAAGAGTTCAGTAAATAGCTATGTATTTATTAGTATAAAGAAGATGAGACTTAGATGATAGCAAGAAATTTAGCAAAAATTGGTTATGTATCTACTTAAAAATTAGGCCAAGAACAGATTATAATCTAATCTCAAACTAAAATGAGAATACAGTTAACAAAGTTCCTATTCTTTAGGGGATGCAATAATTTCAAAATTCAAAACTAGAATTTCATTGATCAAAACATCAGCTGAAACATTTAGTATGTTTTTAATACTGGCAAGCAGGTATTTTAAATGCCATGCCTTATTTTACAATAAAGGAAACATCGTAGGCAAAATTACACTAAGCAACCCACTATAGGTCTTCCAAAACACCCCCCCTCCCACAAGATCTCTAGGATTCGATAGAGGGCAGAATATTCACCTGGTTTGTTCAGAGAAGCTGTAAAGGCCTGTTGTATCCCACTGATCTATCGTATTTGGTGTACTCAGTCCCCAAATTTCAGAGCAAGTGCTGTGCATAAATTGAAAAACAAAAAATTGATGTGAACATGGAAGCATGGTTATTCAAAATACCATGATGTAAAACATGGAAAATGTACAGAATACTTCCTTCACCCAGAAAATATACATTGCTTTTTCACACGCATTTAGTGCTGGTTTCTATATTTTCTATATGAAGGAAGCCAATAAAATGGAACATGTGACTTCAGATAAGTTATGATTATGTTTTTAAAATGTGAACATCAATGTTCTCTAGCTTAATGAAATCACACCTATAATGCCCTTTCCAATTTCCTCTACTCACAACAAAAGATCTAATACCTATGTACTAGCCTTACTAACAGTGCTTCATTTTATAATCCAGTTTTTATAAAAACTTATTTAAAAACAGATGTCAACTGATATTTTTAATATACGAAAAATTCCAATTAAACACACATCCACAGTTAAGATTTCCGGGTTATTTTCGATACTTATATATTCAGTGTCACTGAAAATTATTTCTCTCTTATTACTACAAAGGACAAGGACGTGGATTTTGAAGTCATCCTAACACAGCACGCTACCTTAAAAGTTTTAAGAAACTGCTGTGAGGACTAACGATATATAAAAGCACCAAATTCTTAAAACACATTATAAGTATGAAAAATTTGCTATATCTAGTTTTTTTAATCAATACACCTGAACCGAAAGACATAGACCAGAAAGACCTCAAAATTTTTCTTCCACATTTCTTTTCAGAACATGTGCAACCCAGAGATACTTCTGTTTTCCCTGCCTCTACTCCATTTCACAGTAATTCTCATCTGTGGGAGAAGAGCTGAAAAGGCAACCGGGGGTGGAACTTCTGACTACCAAGGTGTCTCAGGTCATAAGTTGCACTTTTAAAATTAGAGTCAAAAGGTAATTTCTGAAACAATTCCATTTCTTACATATTACACAATCATCAAAATTTCAAGGAGGAGGAAGAAACATTTCAAAACAACTTTTGAAAATAAAATCAAACAACTGACTAAATTCTAGATGTACACATTGCTAACGAGCTGTCAATCAACATTTCAAAGGGCAGTGGTGAAAAGTGCCATCTTCCCGCAACATGCAGCACCTGAGGTGCTGGGCTTCAGTGCCACAGGGCCTCCTGCACAGCCACTGGGCTGCAAAAACATTTCAAGCCATGCTTTCTAACTATAATACTAGACAGGCAAAAAAACTGCACCTCAAGATACTTTCCAGCACCTTTTTGAGATATTGTACAGATTTTCTTGCTTTTTTGGCTGTGGAAGTCCATCTTTCATTTCCCAGACAACAAAAGCCAGAAAAAGCCAAAAAACTGGAGGATAATTTAGACCTTATCTTTTTCCCCCCAAAACCCATGACATAAAATGGCTCTTCAGGATATTTATCTACTGAAAACATACAGCACCACGTAGTTTAAACTACAATTGAATCAACTAAATTATAGTTATGAATATGAATTTAAGCCTCAGAAGGAATAGTATACAACTTACTCTTCTTTCTTCGAAAATAATTTGAGGAAAATGATCAACAAAAGAGTAGATCAAGAAGCTATTCTGCTCCTATGAGACTAGAATGAACATTTCACTCAAGCAACTCTGGGACTGGCACAAGAACCAGAATCTCAAAGGGCATGAGGTGCTTAAGCTGAGTTTTATTCAAGCCTTGAAATAAACTAGAGAATAATAAACAGTAGTTGTTAAAAACATGGAATCAATCTAGAGGCAGAGAGACCCAGATCCCAACTCCAACTCAGCTACTTTCCACTTGCCATCATACGGTATATTTAAGCCTCAGTTCCATCAGTCACAGAATTGGAAGATTTACTTAAAAATAGTAAATTTGCTTCTAGCTAGTAAAATTTTTGCTTGTTTATATACGAAAAAATATTTTTAAAAAGAATCAATTTATAACAAAATATACCAAGCACCTAGAATAAATGTGTCAAAACTACACAAAGAAACATTTTAATTATTACTAAAGAACACAAAAGTAAAGTGAGCAAAGAGAGAAACATATATCTTCCTAGAAAGGAAGACAACATAACGATATCAATTCTGCCAAATTTAGATATTTGATGCAATCTCAACAAAAATTAAAAAAAAAAATTTTAAGACCCAAACAAAACTGTTCCAAATATAACATACCAAAATAAACAAGAATGACCAAGAAAACTCAGACAAGAAGAGTAGAGACTGGCCCTACCAGATTCTGAAACACATTGTAAATCCTCAATAATGGAAACAGTAAGGAATTAGTAAAACAATACATGAAACAGAACAGAGGTTCTGCCTGTAGAGCAGCCTCAATCAGGCAAACTTTCCTTCAGGTAAAAATGACAGCCCGACAGCCTCTGAACAAAATATTATAAAGTCAATTATCTGAAAATAGTGGAGAGAGACCAAAAACAGACAAAAATTGAAGCAAAGTCAACTTTCCTAAGAGGGCAAGTACACTGGACGAGAGCTGAGTTTATGCAGCTTTGTACCCAAGGGCACCCTTGCAGTCTAAGTTAGGCAGGGCAACTGGACCTTATGTAGAAAACTGCAGTTTTACTGACCTGCAAAATCAGAGGATGGATTTGGGGCTGCCAGAGAGGCTGGAAAACGGGGGAAATCCTGTAAAGAAGGGAGCCACAGGAGGGGAAAACCTCACAATGTGAGTGTGAGCTTTGCCCAAATCCTTGACTGACCCCTACCCTATACACGTGGGTGACTATTGTTGAGCCTGGTGAGAACCAGCACTCGGAAGTCTGAGAGAACTAAGCCGAGATTTCAGCTATTGCTTAGACTAGAGGCAGAAAATTTGGACTTTGAGATCCAAAACCATCTGACAGAACAAAAATCAACACTCTTCAGAGGACAATAACAGAATTCAGAGTCTCTATAATGTTTTGTCCCAAATATCCAATATAAAACCACAAATTACCAAACATGTGAAGAAATAAGAAAATTCTATCCCCTAGTCAAAAGAAAAAATAGCCAGTAGAAACAGACCCCCAAGATGAATTAAAACACAAGGATTTTAAAGTAACTATTATGAATATGTTCATGGACTTAATGAACTGATGGGACTCTCAGCTGAGCAATGGAAACTATAAAAGTGAATCAAATGGGAATTCTAGAACTGAAAATTACAGAATCAGAAAAAATTAACCTGATGGTTGGAGAAGACAGAACAGTCAGTGAATCTGACGATGGAGCAGCAGAAATTTTATAGATTGGAAAAAAATATTTGAAATAATAATGGCTGAAACATTTTCAACTTTAGTGAAAAACTAAACTTACACTTCCAAGAAACTCAGTGACTACCCAGCAGTTTAAATACAAAGAAAACCACACTTGGGCACATAACCATCAAATTCCTAAAAACACAGAATGAAAAGAAAATCTAAAGTTGTGAGAACTATAAAAACTCTTGGCATATACAACTCCATCCAGACCCCGGCACTGAGACGCTCAACTAAACTCTAGCATGGCTTCTAGCAGCCTAAGGCTGTGTCCCTGGTATGACCCAGATGCTTCTGAGTTCCTGTCTGGAAAAGCTAAAGGCTGACAGAAGAATTTACTATTTGCACCAGCCAACACTTGTCAATAGGCCTCTGACCTCCTTTTATTAGAGACTGAACAAGCTTACAATTGTAAATCCTTCCTCTGTCTCTTTGAGATGTATATGTTTCCTATAACTGGGGAGTGTCCTTCTCAAGGACCTGAAAACCACTCCTTTGAAATGTAATCAATCACCAGGAAGGACAGGTCCTCTGTCTCTCAGTCTACCCTCTGAGGTAGGGTAGAAGCCTAACTTCAATAAATGCCACTTAGCAGACACAGATGGCCAATCACATTGACAATGACGAACCCTCTTACCCACTTTTTGGGCAATTTTTCATTTCTTTGACTGCTTGAGCCCCGAACTGTTCCCCTCCCCTTACTCCCTCAGTCTCCCAGTCACCTCTGTGTAAACCGGAATTGAGCTTAGCTCTTTCCCCTACTGCAATGGTTACTGAATAAAATCTGTTTTTACCACTTTAACCAACTTCCACCTTTGTTCAACTCTGACAGCAGCAAGAGCAGAAGAATCCATATATAGAAGCATAAACACATGAATAATAATTTTCTCATGAGAAACAATGGAAGTCAGAAGACAATGGAATAACATCTTTAAAGAGCTGAAAGGGGAAAATAATAAAACCCTAAAATCTAGAGCCAACAAAAATTTCTTTTATAAAAGTCAAAACAAAAACATGTTCAGATAAAAATTTGGAGAATTAATTCTAGCAGACTTTGCACAAAGAAATGCTAAAGGAAAGTTCTTCAGGATAAAGAGAAATGACAACAGAAAGAAACTCTATAGGAAAAAAGTAAGAGAATCAGAAAGTGTAAGTATGTAGGTAAATGTAAAAGATGATACTCTTTTCTCCTCCTAACTTCTCCTAAAAGGAGATGATCAATTGCAGCAAAAATTATAATTCTAAAAGTATGTGGATGTAATTTATATACTAACAGCAGCAGAAGGAACAAGAAGTGTTTAAAACAACCGCACTGCTGCAAATCTAAGGACGCATATTGTCATTTGGAAAGCACCTCCCACCCAAAAGGCAAAGAGATATAGCTAAAAAGCATATAGAAAATTAAAACAAAATTCTAAAACATAATTAACCCCAAAGGAAGGAAAGGAGAAAAGAAGAACAAAAAAACCCAGATGATAACAGAAAACAAAGAGTAAAGTGTAAGGAGTAAAACAAAGAGTAAACCCAACCACATCAATGATAACATTATACATAAATACAGCACATACTCCAGTAAGAGGCAGAGACTTGTCAGAATGAACACAAGATGCAAAACATCCACAAAAAAGATGTACTTTAAATATAACACATAGCTAAGGTGAAAACATAAGAATGGAAATACACAGTTCATGCAGGCAGTAAGCTTAATCCAACATACTATCAGAAATAATAAGACTAAGAATATTACCAGAGATAAAGAGACATTT